ATATTGTGCAGCACGCAAGATAGACAGCGCACAGTGTGCTTTGAGGCAGCAGCCAAGAAAGCTTTAGTCCGCGTCTGTGAATACCCTGTGTACACCTGTGTGCATACCTGTGTGGATCAGCATGCTTGCATTCCAAAGGTTTCTCCATGTAATGATCTGCTAGGGAGTGTGGGGGCCACAGCCCCGTCCTCCAGGGTATGAAGCGGGTATGGAGGAGATCAAAACTCCAGACATCCAGAGGCCCCCAGAACACAAGAGACCATGGAAGACCAACAGAGGGGCAGCCGCGCCACTGTCCAGTAAGAGCTGAGGAGAGTCCCAGATGAGGGCTCAGCCCAGCAGCCGCGGAGCAGAAGCCAGGGGGAGTTGCAGTGACGCGCCCGTGAGCTCCGCCGGCCCCCAGCTGTGCCTGAGTGACCGAGCCCCAGGCCGAGAGGCCGGGGGCACCCCACCTCCAAAGGGGGCCTCGAGCGAGCCCCAGGCCCCAGGCCCCGACAAGCGGCCGCCAAGGAGTGAGCCGGTGTGTACCCGGACGCCCACCCCCAGACACAAAGAACCACCAGCACACCGACACCTGAGGGAGTCCGCCACCGGCAGGGGAAGTGGTGGTGGGTGGAGATAGGCCTCCAAACCTTGGAGGGCCTGAGAGTGTCCCCAGAGAGGTGGCGTCTGATACCCAACCTGACATATAGACACAGACATACAGGCACACACAGACACAAACATCCATTCCCACCCTCATGCTCTCATATGCACTTACTCCACACTCAACCAACGTGGAGACAGACATAAAGAGACGCTGTACACACAATCACACTCCCCAAGCGTACTCTACAAACCGGGTCTAGGTACCCTTGCCCCTGGAGGGGGGAATTGCACCCAGACCCAGGTGGTGTTACCCTTTTCCCTGCGGTGGGGAGAGGCAGACCACCCCGACTCCGCAGCAGCAGGGAGGCCCCACACCCCAGACCGCAGTCGGACGGCCAACTCCTCCTACTAGCCCTCCCGCTCCAGCAGGCCGCAGAGAATGGGGGTGGGAGAAGACTCCAAACCTCCCTCCACCCGCTCATTGTAGTGTTGATGCATATGTGTTCTAAGGTGCAATTAAAACCCAGGAGGGCATGGAGCTACCTGCCAAGGAGCAGCAGGTAAGCGCATAGTCCCTCCTGCTAGCCCTCAATGACTAAGTGTATTTAAAATTGAGAGGTGGGCAACGACGTCAGGGGTGAGGTATACACCCTGATGGTAATTTGGACTCCGTGATTGTGCCCACCCCCAAGATCCTATATGTATGTGTAATGAGAGTGTGAATAATGTGAATGTCTAAGTTGTGGGATAAAATTGAGGCAGAGGCAGCCAGAAGGGGACAGAGGGGGGGGTAGCCTCCTCTGCACCCTGGTGACATACCCCTACTCCAAGGCCCTGCATGTGTGGGTGGTTGTGGGGAGCGGGAAGAGGGAGGCAGCTGGAGATGGGGAGGGAAGGAAGGGAGGGGCAGGTACCCCTCCCTGGGGCCAGCTCCCCCGCTGACCCCAGTAGGCACCCCCTACCCCGCGACCCGCCAGGGAAAGGGGGCCCAGGCCCATCAGACCGGGGCCCAGCAGCTAGCGCCCCCCGGCTCCACAGAGCCCGTGGACAGTCCACCCAACCCCACCACAGAGAAAACTGCACCCACCCCACCATCCACTCATCTTCCAGACTACATAGACATAGACGCCCAGGCTGAGATCTTCCTCCACCTCTCCTGTATCTCCCCCTCCTGCAGAGAGTTCCTGAGAGAGAGAAAGCTCCTGCAAGATGTGACATCCCCCCACCAGTTGAAGAGCCCCCCAGGCGGCTCGACGCACCGGCGGCACCCTGCGCCAGGGATGGGCCCCCATGCACCCACCCGCCCACAACCCCGGCAACACACACAACCAGGACCCAAGCCCCCGAGGCCCGGCCACGGGCCCCAGCCCAGAGACGGAGCGCCCCCAGAACCTCACGCCCATCCCGGACCCACCCAGGGGCAGCCAGGTTGCCAGGTCAGTAACCCACGTCCGTCAGCACAGACCCTCCCCTAGCCCCGCTGCACGCAGCCGCGAGGAAACAGTCACCTGAGAGCCAACAGAGCCCCCAACCGGACGTGACCGCTACCCCGGGTTGAGCCTCCCAAGGAAGATGCCTCCGGGGAACCCCCCGACGCCCTAAGCCTGTCCTTACCCCCACACCAATCACAACAGTGAAGGCGGGACCAAACTATGACCCCCCACCCCCACTAGGTGATGGAGCTGATCAAAGGAGCCCAGAGCAATTGATCTGAATGTGGTGGCAGAGGCTGTTCAAGACTAATGTAATCTAATAGATAATTTCTATATTGGTTAGAATTAAGATTATTTTTATTTTTCCAGTTCATGAGGACTGTTTTCTTGGCTATGCATAGGGCAGTGAAATCATATGGGCTATATTCTTTTCTGAAGTGACATTATCTAAGCTGCCCAGTAGACACACTAAGGGGGAAGTTGGAATGTTACATTTCAGACACTTTGATAAGTCTTCACATATCTCGCGCCAAAACTTCTTGCACTGGTGGACAGAACCAAAGAGCGTGGATATAATTGTCTGGTGTATTGCCTTGACAGTGTGAGCAGTTGTTGGAAGATGTAAAGCCCATCTTGAACATCCGATGACCTGTATAGTGCACTCTATGTAGTATTTTGTATTGTATTAATTGCAGACTGGGATTTTTAATCTAATTTAAAGGTTTTTAAGCAAATCTGAGACCAGAAGTTTTGGTCTAGTTGACTGATAAATCTGCTTCCCACTTTGCAAGTAGGGAGGGATATTGATTCATCTAATTTAGAAAGTCAAAAAAAAAAGAAAAAAAAAAGAAATAATCTTCTTTTATATTAGGAAAAGCTGTCTGCAGATTAAGGTGTAGTTTAACTACATGTACATGAAAACACCATCAGCTGTGAGCCCTCCGCTCTCCTCACAGACAAATCTGAGGAAATGATTTGATTGGCTAAAAGATGTCATGTGGGATGAGTTAGAACGCACGTCACTGGTGTGTGACCATTGTAGAAACAACACAAACACGTGTACGAGCGAACTTGAGCAAAACAAAAATCTAGAAAAACAATCTAGTTATAGCTCCGAGTCCATACAGAGCCGCGTCCAGACCCAGATCTGGACCAAGGTCCACCTATTGGGGACCCTGACCTGACTGGTGGTTACTTTAGACCTGGAGAGGGGAAGTCCAGGCCTCGAGGGCCGGTGTCCTGCAGCTAGGCTGTCGTTATCGCATGACCAAAAGAAAGACGACTGCAGTGATGCCAAACGTGACTCTGGTGTTCAGCAGCCACCATCCTTTTAGTCATGCAGAAGAGTTCATTTAAATCACTTTAATACTCCAAACTGATAATGTAGCCTAGTTAAGCCAGCTGGTCAATGTCGTCGCTATCAGAGTGAAACTAAGTACTTCATATAAACTTTTTGTTGCTGTCAGACAGCAGTGAGCGAATAAAAACTGCTGGTTTGACGTATGGAGTCGCCGCTGTTGTTTAACTCGTGCAGAGCCGCCTTCTGTCCGTCTGTTCTCCATCTGATCGATTGTTTTGATTCTCTGATGTTCCCTTTCAGGCTGCCGTGCGAGCGGCTGCAGCCAGAAAAACACTTCCTGTTAGTTTGAACAAGTTTGTGGCAGCAAACTTCACAGTGACCCTAAAGGACAATTCAGAAGCAGGAATGTCGACCTTCTCAGATTAGCTGAGCTCTCAGCATCCACTGACAAAACCTTCCTGTTGCTGAGAATAAAAGCATATCGAGCGCTCGGCGAGGCTCTCCGCGACGAGAGAAAAGGCCGGAAACTGAGCAGGGACAAAAAAAGGAGGCAGAGGAGCGCTGCAGCAATTTAAAACATAATGAAGGAGAGTCGAGACGGGCTGAAGTGGTCAAGAAAGAACTGCGCTCACACTGAAAAGAGACAAATTACATTCCCAGAATCCTCAGACCTTCATAATTCTCCGTTTTTAATGCATGAAGATGTTTTCTGGAGAGAATGACGCGACCTTTACAGAAACTAAAGTGCTTTCAGTTTTTCCATCATGGTGAGTGAGGTGCTGCCGAGGCTCAGAGAACGTTTTACACGGCAGTAAAACAAACAGACACCTGCAGACACGACTCAGGGCGTGAAAGTTGAACCTAAACGTCTTTGTGTTCATGTCAGAGACCACAAAGCTTTCTAATGCAGGTCTGTGGGGCAAATGCTTCTGAGTCACCAGTGCAAAAAACCTGCAACATTAATGAAATGCAGAGCTTTTATCTCGTTAGCCTGTTTGCTAATATATGTCTTAAAGGACACACAGATGTTTTATAGTTTATAGCGCTCATAGTTTACTGACTTTTCTGAGACTCTGACCTCATTATTACAGGCTTTATGTTTATTATGAAAATCCACGACAGGAACAGGAAATATGTAACAGGAAGTGAGCAGAGGAGGCGGTTGACTTTCAGGAAGTCGTGTTGCTTAAGTCATGAGTCGGCGCTGACTGTAGCTTGGCTAACATCACGTGCCAACGATGCACCGAAATGTAAACTGAAGCTCCGCCCAGAACATAAAGCTGGCGCTTTTTGCACAAGCTAATGGCTAGTCGTTACTCCTGCTGCACGAGTAACACGCGTGAAACAAATATCTCATTTGTTATGTGTCTTTATTTATGAGTTCTTTTTAAGAAAATATGCCAGTGCAGCTTAAAACATCGACAAACGCCCTCTGATGGAGAAACTGTGCGTCGTCAGTGCTAACATGAAGGGTGTCTCTTCACTTTCTTGCTGTTTAAATGTTGACACTAGCTCAACGCCGGGCTCTTGTTAGTAACCCTGAAATGATGTTTGCTCGCAGACATACATTTACACGTTGAATTGCTTTATAACAGCTATAAATGTATATAAATATAAGTGTGACATGACTGCAGTAATGATGGAGGAATCGGGGATGGATGGCGAATCGGCTCCTACATCTTCATCTCTGCGGTCGGGTTCTGTCTCTGCTTCACCGCCTCTCCATCACACCCTTCCCCCACCTCTGAAGTCTCCTGAGGTGGAGGCGTCAGCTCCGGGGCGCCGCCGCTCGACCCGGGAGGGCTCCATGAGGTCGTCTGGGTCACGTGACTGTCGAAACAGAGAAAAAGCAGCTTGTTCAGCATTATCGATCGCCTGAAACTGACTCCTCCTACAGGAGCTGTTTTGTGAAGTGAAAACTACGAAGTGTCTTCTGGCAGCAAAATGAGATTTAAAGTTTGACTAATGTGAACTTCCTGTTTCACAGCGAGCTCTGCAGGTACGCCGTAACTCCTCTGAAACCTTACAGTGACTCAAACTCAAAAAAACATCTACAGTGAAGTATTTGTAGGTAAATACAGTCACATTGTTATTTCCATTTACTTCCAGGATCCGTATTATTAACTGAAACCGATCAGCGTCAGTATCATCTTTGTGCTCTGATGTTCAGATCATTACAGACTGTACTCCGTAATTATCCCATAAATCCAGAGTTGGACGGCTGAATTTTCAGGGACTGTGGGGAATCTTTATCCAGCGCCTCGTTCTGTTAATCCCATCTGAAAGAGGCTTACAGCAGATCCATCGTTATCATCCAGCGTTATAGCCCTGGATATAGTTTTGGACATAATGTGATATTTGAATATTTGAACTTGTAATTACAAGCCCAACAACACAATCCCTGTATGAGGTTATTCAGCCCATGAAGGTGTGAAAACACTCTTACTTGATGTAGTATTTCACTCCGTCTGCAGTGTAAGCTTCCTCCCAGCCATAGGGAAGACCTGCAGGGGAAAATGAAATCTTATTTAGAGCTCGTCATGTTTAATGTTTGTTCTTTCTGGACGTGGGTGAGATCGTGTGTAGTTCCACTTTATCCCGACGTAACGAGGCCAGCAGCTCACAAACACACAAATATCAAGTTTCTATTCAGCCTGAGAAGCTCCGCTGCTCCATAAACCCGTCACCCTGAGACTCCACACTGATCTCTGCTCTCACCATATGGACAAGGAGACAATAAGTCGCTTAACCTTGTTTCAGAGAACAAAACAGGTTTCAAATGCTGCCCAGAGGACATCAGAGCAGAAACTGACACCAAACGTCTCGTTCAGAGTGGAGGGTCTGTGGTGATTCACGTATTACTGATGTGTTTGGCTGGCTTACCGACATTCCCCTGTCCTCCTTCTGTCCATATCCGGCTATCCGTCCTCAACACGTGTCTCACTTTTTCACTATTTGCTACATTTGCAATATTCTGTTCAGCCAGCTGGAGGATAAAGTGTCTGTAATCGTACCTTTGCAGATATATTATTACTCCATCTATCTTCTCATCCTCACTAATGTGCACAAGCGCTGGTTATTGATTCAGCAGTGACCTCTCAATAAATAAATAAATGATGACAATGTAGAAATGCCAAAAGCTGCAGTTCCTCTAATGTCCACTGGAGGCTCCAAACATGAGTCAGTCCTCAGAGACAGATGTAACACTCGTGATGTCCCGGAGTCTGTTCTGAGATTAACATTTCCACAATCGTCGTCACCTTGGTTCCTAAAACCCGGACGTGACCACGAAGATGTTTCTCACTGTTTAATTACTTACCAATTAGAACTCTTCCATTCAAGCTGTGACTGGAGCAGCATGCTAGCAATCAGTGCAATCACATGGAAGTTGTTGCCAATCAGTTGGGGAATACTGGGGAATATCAGTGGTTGCTAGGAGCTCCCTGATCAATCTGTAGACCTGTGAGACTTGAGCAACAATTTTCCCACCAACTGCCATCAAACTCCAGCAACCACTCGCAATCAGCCAGGAAATACAGATTTTTCTCCCACGACCGGAGGTCACCAGACCGGTTTCTAGACCTGTGTGACTGAGGCTTCACTCACTCGATCTTACAGGATTGTCACACATCCAAAATGACAGATATGTTAACATCACGTAATCCTCAAGAGGACCAGAAATCTTTTTGCAACCATAGCTAGCGTCATCTGGTGGCCTTCAGATGGAAGACAGTTTTCCTCCTTTCAGAACAATGTTCCTGTACACACTGCAGCTAGCAGGCAGTGCTTGCCCCTGTCCACATCACCATGTGCAAACAGGCTACAGTTCTCTAAAAAGGCCCAAACTCTAACCTTAACCACCATCGATTAGTCCCGTGTGTGCGACGTCAGTGCAAACGAGTGTGGTGTCTCGTCTGTATGACGCCGTCAGGTATGAACGAGCACTCTTACGACTACACAGGAACGTGCTGAAAGACGACATTTGCAGGATAATCCTCCCAACCCCAGAGGACGAGCTTGAAAATGCTGATGGGGAAACACTTGTCTTACAGCCTGCGGTCACCACAAACGTCGGGCTGCAGCATCCCATAATAAACAGAATGTCCGTGTTATTGTTTCATATAAAACAAACGCACATTTTCCCTCGTCGGTCCCACAGACACGAATTAGAGGACACAAGTGTCGTTACTGGATGTAATAAAATGTTCCCACCGAGCTGTGTCAGCCTGTTTCTGCCTCTGTGCTTCCTCTGCAGGCCATCACATAATCACAATAACCTGCATGCGTGTGCACGGAGACAGCTCAGCGCCGGAACAGACACCTGACCTGCGGTTTCACCCTGGCGGCCTGAGCGCTGCAGGGAGGCCCGTGAGATGGGAGGCAGGAAGGGCAACATCGACGAGGGACTGAGCAGCTCCTGGAAACAAACGCTCTGCAGTCGCAGTTCCATGTTTTTATGCTCGACCTCCACACGACCTCAGTAAAAACACGCAGACAGGAAGTGAGAGCGCATGACTGCTGCAGGAGGAGATAATCATGTTTTTATCATGCAGCCGAGTGTGTGTGTGTGCAGCTGACTCAGAGCGTGCGCATCCATGTGGGTTGCGGTGGGAACTCGGTACAATCATGAAGTTCGTCAAAGCTAAAGCCCTACGTTTAAGAATAAAAACGAAAAAGATTTTTAAAGACTGGGAGCGCGCTCCTGACTCGTCCACTGAAAACACAGAATTCCCGTCTAAAGCATTTTGGGATGGACGGAGGATCCGCTCCCACATCTTTGTGTCTGCAGTTGGGTTCTGTCTCTGCTCTGCTGCTGCTCCATCACGCGCTTCCTCTGCCAATTTGAAGCATCGAGGGTTCCTGGAGCTGGCTCGAGAACCCGGTTTGGAAAGTCTGACAGGATCAAAGTCCCGCTGAACTCTGAGACAAAGTCAACGTGGAAAGTCTGACCACAAGAAGCAGGAGACAGACGTGTGTGGAAGCTGTTTTAGCCTTATGTTTCTTGAACTTTGGGTGACTTGAAGATTGAGGATAAAATGGTTAAAAGACATCAAACAGTTAAAACTTTGGTGTCTGTTAAGGCCCGAAAAGAGAATATACACCACAGGAAGACCTGCAGGAACCCTGGAAGTGAAAATGATCATTCATTACACACTCCGTGGGAACAGTTCCCTTTCACTGAGCCATGCTGCTGGTGAGGTTATTCATTTTTAATGTCCACAGCAAAGTTCAGCAGGGTCATTCAGACTACGCTGGGTCCATGTGGCGGTGGATGCCATCGCCACGGTTAACCATCCAGTCTTTAATGATGACGAGGAGCTGATAGTGGACTTCAGCACTAAGCAGGAGAGGAACTACCAGACCCCCGTCATCAACGAGTGCCCAGTGGAGAGAGTGGACAGCTTCAAATACCTCGGAGTTCACATCACGCAGGACCTGTCATGGTCCTGTCACATCAACACCGTGGTGAAAAAGGCCCGTCAGCGTCTCTACCACCTCAGACGCTTGAGAGACTTCCAACTGCCCTCCAAGGTGCTCAGGAACTTTTACTCGTGCACCATAGAGAGCATCCTGGCGGGAAACATCTTAACCTGGTTCGGGAACAGCATCATGCAGGACAGACGAGCTCTACAGAGGGTCGTGTGGTAAGCTGAGCGCACCATCCGCTCCGAGCTCCCTGACCTGCACTCAATCTACAGCAGGCGGTGCTGGACCAAGGCCAGGAAGATGGTGAAGGACCTCAGCCATCCCAACAACAGACTGTTCTCTCTGTTGAGGTCAGGAAAGCGATTCCGCTCCCTGAAGACCAACACAGAGAGACTGAGGAGGAGCTTCTTCCCGCAGGCGATACGGTCTCTCAATCACACCACCACACAGTACTGACCCACACATATGGTTCTTACACACACACTGGACTTTCTGGACTTTGTTTTTGCACAACACTGGTCACTATATTCTTCATTTCCGGTTAATACTTGTACAGCTGCTGTTATTGTGTATATATTTATTTATATTTAGATTTCTTCATACATTCTTATATAGTTCTATATTGTGTATTTTGTTGTACAGTTATTTTATTTTCAACTTTAATTTATATATTTTATCTTATTCTTTCCCAGTTAAATTTACCCTTCATTCTAATTTGTGTTGTACAGTTATTTCATTTTTAACCTTAATTTATATTTTATTCCTTCCTAGTTAAATTTACCCTTTTTAATTTTTCATATTTATTTCCTATCTTATTCATAGCCTTTCCTTTTTTGTTTTCTTTAGGTCACGAGCAGTTGTCCAAGCATTTCACTGCATATCGTACTGTATGACTGTGTACGTGACAAATAAATTTGAATTTGAATTTGAATTTGAAAGCTACAGCGCATTGCCTTCTGAGTGCACGATGGATCTCTAACGCTACACTTCTGAAGCTTTGGACAGATCCATTTCAAACACGCCAACAACTTCTGCAGCTGACCAATCACACGAGCCGAAGATGAAGTAAGGAATGACCACCTTCCCTGCAGATCTCTCCTGCTCCAGTTCAGGAGTAACGTCTATAAAAAGCTTCCTGTGTACCTTCGTGGCGTATTAGGTTCAGAGAACCCCGATCTGGGATTTATTGAATATCCCGTGTCCTCCTGATCCCACCTGTGTGATCGCCTGTGAGGATGACGTCACACAGACAGGAAGCTGAGGCGGTGCAGGCCAAGACTTTTTCAGACACACAGAGTAACTTCACACAGATGCATTTTGGGAGGCGAGCTGAATGAACACAAGAGTAAGCCATAGGAGGCGTTGTTGTCATGGTAACAGGGTCTGAGTCGTCACAAACGAGGAATGAATGAAGCCGACGAGCCTGCTGATTGTTTCTCAGGCAGGGAGCGTGTGTGTGTGTGTGTGCCAGGTTTACACAGCTTTGTGAGGACGCCGCTACACTTATAGGGACCAAATGCAGGCATGTTTGAGACTCACAGTGTGGTTTTAGTGGCAGGGTTGCAGTTGGGTTATGGTGAGGGTTAGGGCGAGGGTTAGCGTAAGCGGCTAGGGAAAGCATTATGTCCCCACAAATGCATGAAAACAAGTGTGTGTGTGTGAGATCTGATCCTGAAGGTCTGCGGTTTGTCTCCGGTGGTCAGATCCTCTGGAGCGATAAAACTGAACGAGAGCCAGCGGTCTGATTTTAAAGCCGAGCAGGTTTCCAGGCAACCAGCGGTGTGATGAAGATGAGCTACAGGTGAGCGTGATGAAGCTCCGGATCAGACTGACCTACTTTCTCTGCTGATTATCTCTAACAGGATGCCTGTGTCCCGAGCCGTGGCTGTTAATTATGTAACAGCGCCCACGCGCTGATGGAGGGAAATTAGGTGACTGTGTCACAAACCTGCTGAATGCAAACCAAACAGCTTTCTCCAGCAAATACACATAGCCCAAAGAAGGACTCCATCACATATATAAATCTCAGTCAAAGCAGCAAGAAATAAGTTCCAGTTAACGGTTGTAGCTGCCACCG